ACCAGACAATCCAGTGATCAACAGCATGAAGATCGATTTACGCAATTGGGATACGATGACATGTGTCAACCAATGCAAGTCAGCGAGCCTGACCACCCAATTCCGTTAGTCGCCTCTTACGACAAACATGGGTTGCTGAAAATCAATTCTAACCCGGATTTTTACGGGTTAATGTTACAAGAAGACCAGCAATTGTGTGGGGATCATATCTTACTCTGGACCCTCAACCTGGGTTTTATTCAGTCACATGACCATTGTTTCAGTGTGGTAAATATTATCATCCCAGTCTATATTGCTAGGTTGGTTTACGATTATTCCTCATATCACATGGTTTGGTTGTTTGTTGGTTTCACACAGAGGCATTTAATGAACTGATATCCGGTAAACTACCGCAGTAGCTTGTACTTGGGAATCAGCATGTAACTCTCTCCACAACATCACAGTCACACCACTGAGTCTGACGACCTGCCACTCGCCAAAGGTTCATTTCGATGTCTTTACACACGCTGTCGACAAGATATCGCGATTCATCACTGTAGCAGACCCGCCGTCGGTTCCCTAGAGTCCATCCCATACTACGTTGATGCAACATTTCAATAGGGGGACTAATACCGGTCTTCTGGGTCATTTCCATCTCTTATAGACGATTGTTTGGACCTATACCTTTCTCAAACCAGGCACCTATTTGGTTAAGTGGCATGTCGATTACGTAGATGAAAGACGTATACGTAGCGACCGTGTGCAGGGGTCGGGGAACTATGGGCCTACCACTTCTCAGCTGATCTGTGGTTGATTTGAGGCGAGTATAAGATCCCATGAACGAGATATGATGGCCCGGAGTGCGTTGAAATGCCATGTAACTACAGACTGGGACTCTTTAGCTTCAAGACGTCCTGTGGCGATGTTGAGATTGGCAGCATTCAGTCTCGGCATTATCCTTCCTATATTAAATCGACATACGAGTAGCAAACCTTTCATTAACGTTTGAACTTCTACAGTCGAGGAAGTTTCCTTTAGTGGACAATACCAGTGCACTGATCTTGACTGTACATTAGAAACTCTGAAGATCTATGTATATTCATTGCATTTAATTTGAAACATTTATACTGTTGTTGCTTTCTCTTTGCTATTGTATACAGCTGCATATTCTTGTTTACTCAGCATATATTAGTCTTGGTAATAGGAGTGAGTGAGTTAAAATGTACAGTCAAATCGGCAATATTTCAGCCATATCGTGACTAAAAGAAATTCTATATTCATGATAAATACGCGTAATTCATAAAACCCTGTCAACTTAAGACAATAAAATGACTAGATTATCACAAAATGGGTTAAAACTACCTAGCATATATCTTTAAATGTAGACAACTATTTTGGACAATACATTGTAAAAATGGGCTATTTATCGCCAACAACTGAAGGTAAATCACCAAACTAGGGTCCATTGGGACTTACATTACTTTTGCTACCTGCATGGACCCTAGCTGGATTTACACCATCCCTTCAGCCATTGGCATTTATGCTGAGATATAGCCATACATTAAAATGAAAAAAATACTACGACTTGGTAGACTTAAATTTACTTCAAATGTTTTGGGACTTACGTACCCTCTCAGGAGGACAATAATTTTACGCTACGTCAACCCCCTTCGAAGGTACTAAATACTAAAAATGCATTTGTCTACAAAACATATGAATCAAAATTCATCTATCAGTTCTATTTTTTATAAAGATTCGATAGGAAAATGATAATTAACATTACTAATAAGATCCTTAACGGTTTTACATTGAAATATGTATCCCTTATGATGGTCTTGGTAATAGGATAAAGTTAGTGGCATGGTTAGCATTAGAATAGCACCATTAGTATTAGTGTAATCGTCTCGTTGTTGGCAGGCAAATAATAGTAATATATACTCATAGACACGAATAAGGGAGCACATGAAAGTACAAGTGTTCTTTTATTCTTTTCCAGAATTTCACCCTGAGTGCTAAACGAAGCTTGGGAGGAAACCTGAAACAAAATGAATAAACACTTGTTCTTTCAGGTGTTCCCTTATTCGTTTTCATGAGTATATTAAGAGATACCAGTTGTGCGGGTGCAATGCACTCGTTGAATTCCAAGGAAAGAAGTTTCAACTGTTGTTTGCTCGGTTGCGTGTAATAGCATACATATAAAACATTATCTGTTGACTGAAGTCATTTGGTCCCTTTTTCATGCCCACTTGTATATTTAAAGAAAAATCAAATTAAATAGACTAATGTTGACAATCATAAATGAAATGTATTCATACGCTTGACCCCTGTTATGACGGGATAATGCAATCGTTCTGTAAGTTGAATTTTGAGATATTATTTTGCTAAGGTTTGGTGAGTAATAAATAAAATACTGAACGATGTCCCGTGTAATAACATATTTATGAAACTCGTCAATGGTATTTGTATCTACCTCGCATAAGATGGTATTACACGGGACATCGTTTAGTATTCTCTATTTCTCTCTATCGCTTTCATCCATCGTGTTGTCGCTTTTTCGTCTCGTCATAGTTCCAATACCTCAAAATCGTGTCCATGTACAAATTCACTGTGTCTTCAACAGCTGCTCTCCATCGAGTTGAATGGGAAAGTTTTTATCCCCAAATCGTCCTCTGTAGGAGCTGTCCAGATATTATGACTGATTTCTGCCAATTACACTTCATCATTTCTTAGTTTCCTTATTCTGTTTGGCATTATTTTTTACATCTTATTCGTGCATCACTAACATTAACGTATCAGTCGTTTCCGCACATGCGCAGTTGAACCTCATGGCGGCAATGTAGTACGTCTTTCAAAATTACAGCTGAGCCAGTAGGGTGGGTATATTAAGTCTCTTAACCGGTGTGTATGTCTGTGGTATTGTGCTTGTGAGTTATTGTGTGTGTGTGTGTGTGTGCGTGTGCGTGTGCGTGTGTGATTACCTTGTGAAACGTTTCATTGAACTTTTCAGCACAGGCCCTCGTGTCTTTGCGAGGATTAAAGATGTTAAAATAATATAAATAGTTTGAGATCACCCCCGACTCCAAATGTACTCCCGACAGTACAATACATTATGACAAGGCCGGACAATTCGGTGTACCCCACTCGCCTGCTTTGCCGATCGCTACGGTACCATCGCATGTTATCGATTAAAACATAATGTTAACATCATTATGGATGATTGGCCAATCGATCACCACTCATGACTCCTACCTATTCTATATTGTTATTTCTGCAAGTTGATTGAAACCCGATTTTGACCCGTTTTCCTGGTAGCCTCAATTCAAATCAGTCACTCTCGATATGGGCCGTGATACGCGTCCTGCACATATATGTAAGTTGACCTGAGACGTGTCCTCCTACCTCCATGCTGCAAGTGCTGAACTTTGTTTTGTTATAACACCAGATAGTGTTGCGTTCTCGAAAAGTTAAACAACACTAACACAGATCACACATATAATTGCACTAGATCTTCATATACGCGACAAAACTATATACGGTTTGTTGATGTTCTGATATTTAAAGGTTGTAGGCTTTGATATTGAAAACGATTCGATTCGCATAATGCATTCATCTGCACATGAGACACCATCGCATGATAACCAGCACAATCAAAGTGAAGCGGGCATGGTCGACTTGGTTCTACAGCACATGCCATTGTTATCACATCATAGACATCTACAGACAAGACCAACGATCTCAACACTAAATGATCGTAACTCCAACATTCAGCATAGATTTAAGATGGTCGCAGCACTGTGATCGCATTTTAGAATATGGCCCAGATTTGGCAAGGACGTTTTGGCGCCTCTTTTCATCAGCAAACACTTACAGAAGGCAACCTCTCTATTCCCATTTATCGATGAGTTTAGGAGTTACTATGAGATTTTGGGATGACTTGGATGATGTGCTAATCGTCATTTCGTATAGGTGCGCCTCATTCAAACAGATCGCTGTCAATCATATCTTTCCTTCAACTTTTAATTGGATTTCACTTATTGGCTCCTGCTAATTTCATTGCCCGAGGTATGTTCCCGGAAAGAGTCAATGAGTATTGATTCCCTTCGCCTGATTATAACGGTTGCTTCAACTAGTGTACGCGACTGTGGATGTTGTACATCTCTCTAAGCATTTCTGAGCGCTTTGTGTCCGAGAAATATAATTAATATACTCATCACAGTCTTGGTATTATGCTGAGCGTATTAAATTGTAGTTCCTGACAGTATTGTGCTGAATGTATTATTTGTAGTTCCTGATAGTATTGTGCTGAGTGTATTAATTATAGTTCCTGATAGTGTTGTGCTGAGTGTATTAATTGTAGTTCCTGGTGGTATTGTGCTGAGTGTATTAATTGTAGTTCCTGACAGTATTGTGCTGAGTGTATTAATTGTAGTTCCTGATAGTATTGTGCTGAGTGTATTAAAATGAGTGTATTATAATGTTCTTTGTACACAATACACTCAGCACAATACCACCAGGAACTTCATTTTAATACACTCAGCACAATACCACCAGGAACTACAATTAATACACTCAGCACAATACTGTCAGGAACTACAATTAATACACTCAGCACAATATCATCAGGAACTACAATTAATACACTCAGCACAATACTATCAGGAACTACAATTAATACACTGAGCACAATATCACCAGGAACTACAATTAATACACTCAGCACAATACTATCAGGAACTACAATTAATACTCTCAGCACAATATCACCAGGAACTACAATTAATACATTCAGCACAATACTGTCAGGAACTACAATTTAATACGCTCAGCACAATACCAAGACTGTGATGAGTATATTAATTATATTTCCTGGACACAAAGCGCTCAGAAATGCTTAGAGAGATGGACAACATCCACAGTCGCGTACACTAGTTGAAGCAACCGTTATAATCAGGCGAAGGGAATCAATACTCATTGACTCTGTGGAACAAGCTGTCAAAAGGGTACTTTGGCAAAAGAAAAAGATGATGAGCAATGCACAGTATCATAAGGATTATGTTGCATTCATGGATACACTGCTGGCAAAGGGTTATGCCATTGAAGTTCCCGCAGACGAGATTACTTGCCAACCTGGACGCATCTGGTATCTGCCACACCGTGGAGTGTATCACCCGAAAAAGCCGAACAAGGTCAGAGTGGTCTTTGACTGTAGCGCCAAGTATGGAGGTTTATCAATCAATGATGTTCTTCTACAAGGCCCCGATCTTGCCAACTCTCACATTGGTGTTTTAGCTCGTTTCAGATCAGACCAAGTTGCCTTCATGGTAGATGTAGAGGCCATGTTTCATCAAGTCAAGGTTCCACGGGAGCACCAGGACTATCTACGGTTTCTATGGTGGCCTAATGGTAATGTTCATGGTGAGCTGAAAGAGTACCGCATGACTGTGCACACTTTCGGAACTGTATCCTCTCCCACTGTTGCCAATTATGCCCTGAAAAGCACAGGAGCCAAGTCAAGATCCAACTATGATGATCAGGTTGCACAAACGATAGAACGCAACTTGAAATCTGTTGAGTCTGATGAGTGTGCTATTGACTTGATAAAGAATGTAAAACTTGTATGTGCGGATGGTGGATTCAATTTGACAAAGTTTACAAGCAACAGCAAGATCGTTCTGTCCTCCATTATTCAATAACATCGCTCCAAGGAGATTCAAGCCGTTGATCTCAGTCGAGATGACATTCCCATGGAGAGAGCACTGGGGATGCAGTGGGATATCAAGCTGGATTGCTTCAAGTACACAGTTGACTTGCCAGAGAAGCCGTTCACTAGACGAGGAATTCTGTCCATGGTGTCCTCCTTGTATGATCCTCTAGGTCTCGTCTCACCGGTGCTGCTGCCTGCTAAAAGAATCCTTCAAGACTTGTGTAAGGACAAGGATCTAGGCTGGGATGACAACATTGGTATGGAGTTCACAGGCAGATGGACAAATTGGCTCCAGGAAGTCGACATGCTCAAAGGTCTAACTGTTAGAAGATGTCTGAAGCCTCCTGATTTTGGTGATGTATTGTCTCAACAGTTGCATATCTTCTCTGATGCTAGCTCCACAGGATATGGTTGCTTTGCATACATTAGGCTCTTTGACATAAATGGAAACAGTCATACAACACTTCTCCTGGGAAAAGCTAGACTGGCTCCTTTAAAAACACTGACTATTCCCAGACTAGAACTGACAGCTGCTACTGTTTCTGTGAAAATAGGACGATTTCTCCTCCGAGAACTGGATGTAAACATTGACAGTGTTACCTACTACACAGATTCAACAACCGTGTTGGAGTGCATTCGCAGTGAAAAGATCAGATGTCCAGTGTTCATTGCCAACCGAGTGACTTATCAGGGACTTCAGTACACCAGAACAGTGGAAGTATGTCGGTTCCAAACCAACCCAGCTGACATCGCATCTCGAGGATCTAGCTGCTCACAGTTTCTGAAATCCATTAAATGGTTCAATGGTCCAAAGTTCTTGAGAATGCCTGATTCAAAATCAATTTCGGAACCTCGGGAAACAATTGAAGCTGCTGTGATGTCAACGTTGGATGAGACAGCGGATTCCCCTGGAGATGTTGTTAGTAAACTCCTCAATTATTACTCATCCTGGTATAGATTGAAAAGAGCAGTCGCAATCTATCGCAGGTTCTTCAACTTTCTGAAATGTAAGTCTCAAAAAGAAAAGCCCTCAGCTAACGCTCTTTTGTCACTCCAAGAACTCGGAGACTCCGAGAAGAGTATTCTTTCCTTGGTACAGCAAACGGAGTATGGCTCAGAAATCGCTATCCTCTCTAAGACCACAGAAAAAGGTCATCAACTCACTGTACTACCAAAAAGTAGTCCTGCCCACAATCTCTGCCTGTGCTTTGTGGATGGTTTACTCAGAGTTGGAGGGCGTTTGAGCAATGCCAACATCAGTGACACTATGAAGCATCCTGTCCTATTGCCACGTGGGTCTCCTATATCCAGTCTGATTGTTCGTGATGTACACGAAAGACTAGGTCATGCTGGTAGAAAACATCACTGGAAAAAAGTCCACATTTACAAGCTTGGAAAGGTCTTGGAAAGATGATGTTTCCAAGACGTAAGATGATGTTTCCAAGACATTTCTAATTTTGGAAATATGAGATTTCCAAATATTTACAATTTTGGAAATGTCCACAAGGGGAGATAACTGGTGGGTGATGGTAAATTATTGTTCTTTGCACGCCCCAGGACCTAATCCCTTGTTGATTGATGAGTGAGTCAAGGCAGTTGAGAGTCACCAATTAACAAGGCCTACTGCCTTTGGAATGAGATGTTTTAATCTGAGATCAATCTGTTAGGTAGCAGTTTACTAAAGTAGAACTTAAATCAACTTCAAAAGATTGGTCATTCGCCAAGCGAAGCAGATCTCACTTATACTGCAGTAAACAGTATGGGGATACACAACGAAACATACCACTTACGTGATAACAACTCCTGTTTATTGCATAGAGCGGCATTTCGATGTACAACGTTCAGGATAAACAAGCTGATTGAATGTTGATTGATTCCATCACTTGGACAATGGAGTGGATTTAGACTTGTTGATCTTACTCTCCTGTTGGCCCCAACGATGTGCTACTTGCTGAATTACCTGTTGTTAATATGCTGCTTGTCACTATGCATATATACTTCTATTCACCTGGTTGTAGTAACTTTTATCTTGATAACGGCATGAGAATATACATGGAAACTCCCCTCTATCGACCTTTGGTCCAATCGGATGAGTTAAGAGAAATGTTGATGTCCCGTCCGTTAGCAAATTAACATTGGATTATAGAGACGGTACCATAGAGACAATGATAGGCCTACGTGTTGATAGAAGAGGATATTCCGGATTATGCGAATGAGAGCACACCTAATGAGAAAACGAGCCAAATATGTGTATAAAGATAGTGTTTTATTTCAGTCTCAGTTCACTTAGCATATATACATTGAAATATAAAACACATAAAAACATAGAAGGCGTAAGCCACGAGTGGTAACGGGAGACTATATGGACAGATTTATTTAATCATGTTACAACATGCTACATTTTACAAGAATTATAAATAGTTATATTACGTCATATTATGAAATGTATCAAAATATTACAAAATTTTAAATATACATACACATTTATAAGTACATTATAAATATTTTAAAGATGTGAAAGAAGAGACGCTGAATCAGCAAACTGTCTAACAGTTAACATTCCATTTTGAAACTGGTGTCTCAGTTCTTGAAGACGACGTTCCAGGTATCAGTATTTCTTCTTCGTGGGTTGTCTTTGGCCTTCGGCATATTGCACCAACGAGGTGTAGAAATAAACTTATGTTCAAGTTGATCATTAGCCATTTCGAAATCGAAAGTACACTTTCATGCTTCTTCTCATTATATATCCCCATGTAATTAGAGGGGAACTGATCCAGAGCGATTAATGTTTCTCGCCAACAGTCTAATTACCAAACCAAACTGCAAGCTTGTCGGTATCTGCTCCCTCGACCGTGACGGACACAGGGACTGGGCTTCTGGCCACCTTGACAAAATTTCTTCAACCCAAACAGCGGGACATTAGGAAGGGTGGATGCTCATCAGATGCTGTTATTTGAGAATACCCCCGGTAGTTCCTGTCTGATTGCAATAAAGTATACCAGCAGTGTATGCTTTTCGGATTTTCTAATGCATAGATGGCATAGTGACTGATCCAATTTGATCTTATTTCTGTGTTTTTTTACCTCGATATTTCATCATGCCATGTAAACATATGATGTCTGTTACATATTATATTTGGTTTAAACATATTTTTATTCCTAGAGAATCTGGTTTGGTAAACAAGCTGAACTCTGCTTATATCAATACCTCACCAGTACATATATGATTTAAACAAAATACACAGGAACTGGATACAAAAAACCGACAAATTAAATCATATGTGTGCATTGTAGGTGCTTATAAACATTGAGCTTGCAGCTACACTTCATTAATTGATTGCATATAATTGTCAGTATAATTTGTCAAATCGTTTAGACTTAAAGATGTATTGATGCAGGGACTCTGTTATGTTCTTATTGACGTTGTTGTTTGCCGGAGGTATTCCGTATAACCCAGTTTGGAGATTGTGCCCATTTACATAGTAGTAGGTATTATTTCTAATAGCAGTGTATAACTTACATGTAAAAAGATAATGAACAGTAATCTTCATTGTGGTATCCACAAGCGCATCCAGGGTTGTTAGAAATGTGTCTATTTACTTTATCCGCATTCCAATCACTACAGCCGAGCTTAAGTCGACAGTGTACGATCTGACAGAACGACTGCCATAATTTAGATCTAGATAATTATTTGATTCATCATTTTTAAGCAGAGATTTGAATTCACCGATTGAGTTAGCGAATACTAAATTATCAGGTAATGAATTCCAAATTTTAATTGTGTCAGGTAGGAACGACTTTTCATATATTTTAGTCCTACAATTTATTGTTTGTAACTTAAATTTATTACGGAGATTATATTGACTGTTTTCAGAGACAAAGTTAGGGACAAGGTCACAGAGGTAGTCAGGTGCGAGATCGTTATTCATCTTGTAAAAATTTATTAGTTTAATGTCGCGCCTTCTTTCTTTTAATGGTTTAGACTTTGTTTCGATATATAACCTATGATGACTAGTGCCACGAACTGCGCCGCATGTTGTACGAAGTGCATCTAGATGTAACCGTTCAAGAATAAGGGACTGATCATTTGTACAATTATCCCAGATATGACAACAATAGTCAAATATCGGCATCACAAACGATTTGTACATGGTTTCTAGCGTTTTTCTGGAGAGGCGATATTTAAAACTTCGAAGACAATCTATCATGGGGCTAACTTTCTTAACAATATCTTCAATATGACTTTTCCATCCACAATCACTCTGTAGAGTTATACCCAGGTGTTTATGACTTTCCACTTCTCGTATCAGGGTTTGGTTCATGTTCAAGGTCGGAATCGTGACGTTTTTATGTTTACGAGAAAAATTGATATTATTATTGATATTATATTTATGACAAATGAAAATTTACTTAGGTATATACAATTTTAACTTCAGTACACATCAAATGCTTATATGTATTTCTTATGCAACAATGAAGTTCCGTTCGTATCCTCCAAACAGTGTCGGCCCATAAGTTTTTTCAGGCAATTAACATTGCATGCAATTCAGCGATTACTACCCCCCTTGCTGTAACCAGTGTTTGGTGGTATAAACCTACACATGTTATTTGTCATCATTCACTTGATGGTCAATTAATGAATTTATAACAGGTATGATGGTAATACCACTCAGATTACCCGACAAAGGTTCCCATTTTGCATTTCTTGTGTCTGGAGTAAATAATCAGCATTATGAATTAAGGTCTGATGTGACAAATGTATTACATGTTATGTAATATGCTCATGGAAGTGCAGCAAGACGAATTATCAGCTGAGATACATAACAAACATTGATCAAAGGATTAACCGATAACACGCTGATTGATTAATTACTTTTATCTTGCACAGCGGATTTGTCAAAAGGTAGTGTTTATGTATGTACATTTACTAATCTATACTGATTACACCCTGTCGTAAAGTACCTGTGTAAAAACAACATCTTTCCTTCAATGTATTAACCGCCAGTAAGTTGATGTGGGTGTTCCTCTTTTGCCAGTCGGGCAAGCTGTTTATTTAAGGCGTAAGAGGATCACCAGACCATGTTAATTAGCAAGACAATGGTAGGGGTGGGTGGGGAAGGTGGGGGAGGAGATGACCAAGCCAGGAAAAACACAAGTGGATTGATTGCTCATTATTGGCTAATTAAATTACCTTTTTAAAGAATGGCGGACATCATGCAATTAGTTGCCATGTGTGCGATCTTGGATGAACAATGAGATTATACACCAATGTGGAAAAAACTGAATCGATGTATCCCTTTTTCGCATATTAGACTGTTAAAAGACACTTGACATGGAACAGGATTCTTTGTAAGCTGCAGATCAATGGCATATGTTCCTTTATGTGGAGGTAGCGTCCTATTTTTGACAGCGTCTTGGTCACTGATTCGCGAAGTTTCGCTCTCAAACCTGGCATAACTAGCTGCACCAATTAAGGGTAGTTATGTAAATGCAATCACCTGAGAAAAGTACAGAACAAGTAACATTCCACAATCAACTGAGAGAAAAGGATGCGAGGAGCAGCGTTATCCGTTGTATGAATGCAATATTTAAAAAAGGTTACGTCATGAGCAGGATGGTCGAAGTAGCTTTACCAATTACTTGCAAAGTATATATGCCCACATAATCACATTGTCTTATCGTATTTCATCATGGCTGAGAAAGGTACAAAGTTAGATGGTAGGAGACCAGGTGGAGAATTGTTGCTGGATGGATATAGGTATCTGAGACGAACTGCCAACAGGAATGGTACCATTATATGGAGATGTCAGTGCCTGAAAAGAGCCTCAGTCACTACAACAACAGATGGGACTGTTGTCAGAAGAGGGACAAACAGCATACACATCCAGACCAAAGCTCTATTGGTTCCTATATCCTTACCAGTAATGTGAAAAACGGGCACGAGAAGAGCTGCCAAGTGTACCAAAGTTCATTGTCAAAATTGGGATAAAAGGCTAGATCAATTACAGAAGTGAGAAATTTCACTGTCAAATTTGAGGCTGTCAAAATCGGGACTAAACCTACATGGATATTGATGGATACATTCTTCGAACAAGGTAATAACCTGACATTGTTGCAGACTTTAGTCTGTTATATTTCTAATATTTGCATTTTGCTTTTATTCATTTGTGGTAGCATTCAACAGAATCATTTGTTTTCGCTGTGTAGCGCAATGATGTGATGTGATGTGAAATTGGGTTTAACGTCGTGCTTGAGAATATTTCGCTCATATGAAGACGTGCATGCGTATGTATGTGTATGTGCGGCTGCTTGTACTAGGCCAGACTTAAGCTGGTTTTATAGTGCTAGCCCACTGAGATACCATGCCGCAGTGAAGCATGAATACCCTACTCAGACATATTATACTGACTCCGAGCCGACCAGTCCTCGTTGTACCCATTAATGCCGAGCGCCAGACAGGCACCAACAAGTACCATATTTTAACGTCGTTTGGTATGACGCGGTCGGGGATCGAACCCGCGACCTTCCGCTCTCCGGGCGGACGCTCTAACCACTACACCACGGAGGCGGTGTAGCGTAATGAGACAGACAACATACACTAGGTCATACCTAGGGACTGTGTGAAATATGATTCATGTTGGCATTCTATAAAATATCTAGATATTACAGTCATGTTATAAATACGCTATAAGTAGAAGCAGATCGTATGCTTTTTATTAAGTTTCAAAATGCATACAAATATGACAATAAAATAATTAGGATTATAAGACAAAATATAAAGACATACATTGACTTCGTTAATTTCAGTTCTGACGTTTTTTACCACTGGCAGATGATTAAACTTCAAACTGTTTTCATTTGTTTTAATAAAAATGAAGATGGAAATATTATCGAGTAAAAAAGATTTCATTTTTGTTGATCAATCTATACCTATACGATCAATTGCGCATGCGGGTGGCGCAGCAAAGCTCACGAACCCATCGAAAATACTGGGATATCATCCGGGTACTCAGGGGAGAAAAACAATAACAAAAGCAATAACCAGTGCGCGGAAATTGCTCTGGATCAGTGCCCTTTCAAAATGTGTTCACCATATGATTGTTTTAATCATGTTTTTACACGGTCGGCTTCCGTGTGCAATGTGTTCACTTCCATCAACCACCAGCTTGTAATAACACGTCACATGAGATTAGCCATGTGCTAAAATAACACCCAAACTTCAAAGCGTACCCCTTGTCAACGTCCTGAGCCTTATAAAAATCGAAAGGTCGGCTTCCTGAGACGACATCTCAAACTATTTTCATGTAAGTGGTAATAATTCCTGAGCATTAGAGAACAGATTGGCTTGTTTGGAATTTAATGCTTTTCATAAACTAGAATCTCATAAATTATTTGTCTCTGGAAACATCTGTGATATGAACTTGTGTAGTGATTTCTCTAAAATATTATTTAACGTTATCTAAAATGAATAATGCATTAAACATTTAGTCACCTTTCATTGTAAATGACCAAATTAATTAGTTACACTATGAAGTTTTTAAGAAGGAATTCATTTCGGTTGTTTTTGCCTCAGTCCGCCCGTGTGTGGACAGCATAACCAATTATTTATTAACAGGTTCATGATATTTCGTGAATGCACCAACTGCATAACACCGTCTCTGACCACAAACCCAAACGGGTTGTTCTCTATTCGCCTACATCCCAATTCGCCTACAGTCTTAAAACAACATTTCATGGTCTGTTGACTGTTGATTACGCAATGATAAACCACCCAAACGGTCCATCCCTTGTGACAGGTGTTAATTAGAGGGTACCAATTAGAGAATGTATTCTAATACAATAAGCCTATATTCCCTGGCAAGGGTTCACTTTTATGACATGTAATAAACCCTGTCCAGTCAGTCAGTGCGATGTGCAACTGTTATTTAATCCATGATGTAACGTAGGTCTATGTAATTTGTGTTTATGCAAACCGAGACAAGTCGAAAACTATTTGCGCTTCTGTGGATAATAAGTAAACATACACTTAAAACGGTATTTTGGAAAATGCTAGCCATACCAAGGGCAAATAAAACAGTCAATATAAATTTTTGACACTTAGAACAACAAGGATGCAGACGAGTGAAGTTATACCAGGGATAATCTACAACGTCTTATAGTCTCCCTGGTTATACTAATATATAGAATTGGTTCCTAGTTGATCGCATAGGAGGACGAATACACTCCTAGGAGGACGAATACACAGTCTATACACTCATGGTGATCCTTGGGAAAAGGAGAAACTGACAGAAGTAGTGGTAAAATCCTTCCTAAATTTCCAAAAATGTCCAAGCCTTGGAAATATCATATTTCCAATTTTGGAAATTTTTGGAAATATGATATTTCCAAATTGGACATTTTTGGAAATCATCATTTTTTTTCTTGTGCATGTCCTGTCTGCTCTAAGAGAGGAATTTTGGATTACAAACGCTAATTCTGCTGTCAGAAAAGTATTTTGAACAAATGTGTACTTTGCAAGAGATTAAAGATGTCCAATGGTCAACAGATTATGTCCGATGCCCGACCAACAGGGTACAGCCATCTCCACCATTCACCTGCACTGGACTAGATTTTTTTGGCCCTCACACCGTGAAAGAAGGACGCAGGGAAGTAAAACGGTATGGTGTCCTGTTTACTTGCATGGTTAGCAGAGCTGTTCACATAGACTGCCAATTCTTTAAATACGAACTCCTTTATTAATACTCTAAGACGTTTTATCGCCCGCAGAGGAGCAGCCAAAGAGATCTCCTGTGACAACGGCACAAACTTTACCAGTGGAGCCAAGGAAGGTTGTCATGCAGTTGATGAAATCGACCAGTCTTAAGTTCACGATTACTTGTTGAAACTGAACATCGTCTGGAAATCAACCCACCTTCAACCAGTCATATGGGAGATGTATGGGAACGGCTGATATGGTCTGTCCGTAGTGTTCTCAACCCACTTCTCCAAGAATCCAGGCAACGCCTTGATGATGAGCTGTATAGAATACTCCTGTGTCAAGTTGAGTCGATCTTGAATTCTAGGTCTCTGACAACAGTGTCCAGTGATCCGTCAGATGTAGAACCTTCGACACCCAACCATTTGCTGATGGTAAGATCCAGTGCCTACATTCCACCACCTGGAGTATTTCAGGCATCTGATGTCTAAGCACGCCGACGATGGAGACGTGTACAGTACTTGGCAGAGCTTTACTGGAGTAGATGAAGAAAGGAGTACCTTTTAACGCTTCAGAAACGTCACAAATGGCAAGGTTCTAAAAGGAACTTCAAGGTAAACGATATTGTACTAGGTGTGTTTAAGGGGCCGGGTGTGTTAATGCTAAATACAAGTTATGTTATATTCAGTAATGTTCAGCATTGTTAAACCAGGCATGTATGAGTGTCTTGTGCGGTGGCATAGTGGTTAACACTTTAGACTTGAAATCCAAAGTGCTAGGGTTCAAATCCAGCGTAATGGAAAAAAAAACCTTTGTTAATTTAATCAGTAAATATATAGCCTCACTTTCATTATTGATGATCACATGACCAAACCCTTGCACAAAATCTTCATGCAAAGGCTGATTCACTGTGCTATCCGCATGGTCATTTGGCTGTCTGCAAACCTCTCTGTATGGCAACACAAATGTGAGTACTTTTAATCATACATTGTGTACTTTATATGACATTTGAATAGTATATGTTGTTGGAGTTATCATTTGGAATATTTTGACCATTATTATTGTGTAATTTGATAGAAAGCTGTTATTGATGCACGTTACTGAAATGCATTTTCTGACAATCTTCAAACGTTTTACCTAACAATTTTGAATAGCTATATTTGATGATCATGAAATCCTATATTTGAAAATTCAGAAAAGTTATATTTAAATGCTGTAATTAATGTATTAGCTAAAAGACCGCCTCCGTGGTGTAGTGGTTAGAGCGTCCGCCCGGAGTGCGGAAGGTCGCGGGTTCGATCCCCGACCGCGTCATACCAAAAGACGTTAAAATATGGTACTTGTTAGTCCCTGCCTGGCGCTCGGCAGTAATGGGTACAACAAGGACTGGTCGGCTCGGAGTCAGTATAATGTGTCTGAGTGGGGTATTCATGCTTCACTGCGGCATGATATCTCAGTGGGTTAGCACTATAAAACCAGCTTTAGTCTGGGCTAGTACAAGCAGCCGCACATACACACGCATGCACGTCGTCATATGAGCGAAATATTCTCAAGCACGACGTTAAACCCAATTCCACCACCACTTTTAGTTTCTTAAATCTCATCGATGGACCGAGTCATGTCAACGATAATTAGCCAATGACTTGTCAACGACTACCGAAAATCGTAACTTTAATAAATCCCTGTCGATGCGAGTTTTGGAGTTTTGTTCTTGCATCTACAATAAGCAATTAAAATAATGTTTAACATCCGGCCATATCCTGGCTTATGAGACACTAGCCTTGAAAACATATTTATAACACATAGGTAAAGGTGTGGTATAAAATGGGTAAATAATACCTGCAAAAGGGATAAAGGGTGTGTGGCGGGAGTTAAATGAATATTTGGCGTCTAAAAATCATATCTCTGACATTAACTGCAGTGATTATCGGATATTTTTGGGGTTTTGTCACTCATGGTTTTAAGAAATAGGTCTGTGGGGTTGCTGTAAATATATGTTTGTTTAATGTCATATCTGTTGTCTCTATATAGTGAACATTCGGAGAGGAAGTGAATTTTATTTTCAATTTTATTTGGGCAAAAGTTGCAAACTCTGTGTTCCAAGGGGGTGGAGGGTCTGTTGTAGCATCCGGTTTCAATATGAAGAAGGAGGCTTCCATAGCGCAATCTGGATAAGTATTTCCTGAGGTTTCTTGACATTGTAGTGCTGACGTATGTTTCAGGGATGAGACCCTTTTAAAAAGTCTATAACAACGAAGCTTGTTTCCATCTGTAATATTTATCATCCCAAAGCGCCTTAAACCATAGAAATTCATCTTGTAATTTCATTTCTTTCTTCAGCTTTAACATGACCCAATGAATGGATTCTGGCATGTTAAGTATGTTGACGATATGAAGTTGCTTGCCAATTTTCAGAACAGTGTTAAAAAAAAAATGTCTTCTTTTTGTAACTTCTAAAATCCTGACTGGTAATCCGCTAGTCTCATTTCTGTTCATCTTCAGAAACCATCTAAAAGCTCCCAGTCTCTGTTTAGTGAGGCAGGATTGACATCCCATTTCTCCTCGAGCAGCGCAGTTTGATGTACTCCCAGAAAGAATCTGCAAGCTCTGTTCTGTATATTGTATATTTCTCGATGACTGTAAAGACCCCAAATTGGAGCTCCATGGAATAGAATGGGCTGTACAGTAGATTCATAAAGTTTTGTGAAAACGTCATAAACCATGTCCCCACATCTGTAATACTTACTTATCAATAAGCATAGTGCACGTCCAGCACTCTTTGCGATTTCCTTTACCGTATACTTCATGTTAAGGTGCTCCTCGAACCACAAGCCTAGGTATTTACAAGCATTAGTAAAATCTAGGAATACGCTGTTACAGGAAAATACGTATTGGGGAGTTGGTATGGACTTATTTCTGAAAAGCACAATCTTGGTTTTCTTTTTATTTATATGAAGTCGCCATTTCAAACACCAGTTCGTGACTGCATCAAGCATACGTTGTAGTTTATCTTCAGTGGGAGCTAGAAGAACGACGTCATTAGCGTAGAGTATTAGGGATAGACAGGTGTCATCGATCATAACACCGTCCTTCAACTCGTTAATATCGTGAGCTAAGTCGTTGATGTAAATGACTAAAGTCCAAATAGAGTGGGCGACATTAAACAGCCTTGCTTAACGCCCCAGGGAACATGAAAGAAAGGAATCATCATGCCGTTAACACACACAGTACTCTTGATATTGTCGTACATACACTGTAATGTCTTGAACATTTTACCGTTTACCCCAGTTTTTCTTAGTTTCAGCCAGAGGCAAGATCTATCCACATTGTCGAAGGCTTTTTAAAGTCTATAAAACGTGCAAAAGTTTGTTGTTTGGCGTCCAATGTGTTCTTGACAACTGAGTACAACTTAAACATGTGGTCGAAACAATTTTTATTCTGTCGGAAACCGTTCTGCTCTTTCACAAGAAAATCAGTAGACTCAAGCCAGGACGTCAAGCGTTGATTCAATATGTCACCATAAACCTTGCAGGGTACAGATAGTAAACTGATGCCTCTGTACGTCGACGGGATTCGAACATCGGTATCCGCTTTAGCTATGGGGTGAATGACACTTGTCTTCCAGGTCTCGGGGATGACTCCTGTGTTAAAACACACTGAATACAGTTTAAAAAGAACATCTACACACTTTTCATTCTTGAGAGCTTCGCTGGGAATATTGTCAAGGCCGGCTGCTTTCCTAGACTTAGCTTTGTCTACAGCTTTAACAACCTGCTCCCTGGGGATAGGTAGATTAAGAACAGCGTGTTCATCTGTAGGACTGCTCGCGGTGTCTAATGTCTCTAAATCTAACTTAACTTGTGCATAATGATTGTCATCAAACTTCTGATTTTCATCCTCATTTGAATAAATATTTTCAAATTCTGACCTCCACTTCCTCAGAACAGTAAGTATATCTGAGCGAACACTGCCGTCTTCTGAAATCACCTCCATTGGTAACTTTGAACTTCTTTCATTCTTTTCCATGGCATGAACTTAAAGTTATGTGCACGGAGACCGAAAACTCGATATTTGCAAAAGGTTTGATAGAAAGTAGATACAGAGATTGTTGTCTCCGTGCACACTCCACCAGAAGAGATCCATTACGGAGACGAGTAACATTCCTGACTTCTCCACAAACCCCAGAGATAGCTTTCGAAATAGCGAAAGGGGTAAGTTTGATGGGAAGAAACTCTGTAGCTTTAATAGGAATGACAACTCTTTATGGATGATCAACTTTTTGTTTTACAATAGCGACGTTCGGGTATAGATACCTATACCGTTTTCAAGCATGAAGTGGTGAACGAACAGACGAATTTGCAAGTTTTACATCAGCTTCTGGCTGTTGCCAATGTCGCCGACTTGGTAGGTGGGAGCTAAGAAATAATCAATATATAAGTAATAGGGAATAAACCACCCTACCAAACAAATTTAAAAGATGGGGCCTTCACTAACTTGAATTTTGAATAAAAACGTTGGAAAACATAAGATGAAATATAAATAAAGCCGAAGTTAAGAAGGGAAAGGAAAATTCATGTTTGCTTTGTTAATTTAAATAGAGAGAGAGTTGTAACTTAGGAATATGTTTAATTGGATTTCTAGTATAAACAACCCTGAACAGCTATCAAGTGCTTGGTTTCATTCAAGTGAGACAACTCCGTTAATCCTTTTTCATTAGTTTGTGAAGTGTTATCCCCCTTTGTTTACTCGCTAGCAGACGACAATTTCAGTGATCCTCAGTATGGATGATTTAGAGAAGAGGAAGTTGATTTTAGTGTATTAAAACAAGGACATCAGATCAGCTAAAGTGATATCAAGTAGAACAGGCATCCCTTTGTCCACTGGTTATCGTGTTTTGAAAAATATTGCAAATGGATATGGCATTGAGCACCAGGGAGGCGCAGGTAGGCCCAGAAAATTGACTGTCGGTGACAGGAGGCGGCTTGGTATTCTTGTTTCTAAAAACAAACGAAGGAGTTTAGAAAACTTAGGCTGGATATGATTGATAAAGGAACTGTGGCTGTCTGTAAGGAGGCAATTAGAACTGAGCTGCATGCAGTGGGTTGGCGGAAAGTCGAGGAATTCCATCACCGATCATGAAACCTGAACAAAAGGAGCGAAGCTTGAACTGGTGCTTATAGCATAGAAATTGTAACTGGGACAATGCGATTTTCTCAGATGAAAGTTCTGTGTGGCTGTTTCCTAATACACTGAAAGTCTGGACCAAACAAACTGAAAAACTTTGTATCAACGCCCAAAGTACAGTCCGAAATTTAACGTGTTGGGTGGCATATCTGTGTTAGGGGCAACCCCCCTCTGTGTATTTAAAGGGAATATGAACAGTGAGCGGTACACAGATATTTTCGAGGGATATTTACTTCCATCTGCTCACGTGTTCTATGGAAACCTTTGGATTGTCCAGCAGGACAACGACCCAAAACATCGTTCAAAG